ATCTGGAGAGTCAGGAACTGATTGCCAGTAATTATGCCGATCCCTGTCTAGAGAACAGTTCCCAATCGGACATTGTATTCATTCCCATACCCTTTGACTGTCTGCCCACAATCGACTGTCCACTCATGGAGATCAAATACAGCATCAGCTTATTTGTCGATATCTCCGACTCGACCGAATACTTCGATGAGATTCCTATTTATATTAAATAGACGATCGGAATCTTGTGGCCGTCATTCAAAAGTCGGTACGGTATCTGTTGTGCCAAACATGTGGTGATTGATAGTAAAGCTAAAGATATCAGTAGTTTAGACATTTTGACTCTAATATTAATACTGTATTAGAAATTAGAAATATTTCTAACAAACTTCTAATTTATACCTTAACTTATTTTCTATACTTTCGATATTCTGTATTAAGATTATCTCTATGCAAACAAACATTTTTGATAAGTAAATATAAGTTGAGAAAGAATTTATTAAGTTATTAAATATTTATTAATTAACAATAAAAAATTGGGTATAATTATAGATATATATTTCTCTATTAGTCATGGTGTTATATTTTAGAAATTTTTTATCTAATAAAACTTAAATTATAATATTAAAGTGAAATAAATTTAAATAGGTTTGACTGTAATTGTGCCAAACTGTGACTTTGAGATTCTGTTATGTCTACCACTTCAAGATGATATTTATATCCATTTTTCAACATGTTCATACTGGTATATTTTATCATTATTTAACTTTCAATATATTTTGTATTCTTAGGCAATATTTTAAATAAAATACGATATAAAGCTCAAGAATATGTTAAATTATACTTTTACAGACTATTATCTAATCGATCATATTCACTTATTACAACTAGTATATTTAACATAAAAATTATGAAAATGTGTTAAATATTTACTATGTTATAGAAATATATATGTGAACTTTTATTCTAAAATTTAGATTCTAAATGATAGTAATAAAAATGTAAATCATGTTTTATATTGAGATTATTACTGAATACCTTATGTGTGCAAAGTTATAGATATTTTGTGTAAAGATTGCAGTTATTTGATATTTAAATATCTAATTATTTAAGTTTTTCAATTCAATTCAATTTTATTAAATTCAATATTAATGTAATGTTGTCATCCAATAACAGATGATGTTCATAACAAATTCCCTGTATTTAAAAATTACAATTAAAATGTTCTTGAATATTATTTAAAATTTGAAAACAAATTTTGAATCTTTCTATTTAAATATCTAAATAAATTACATAAAAAACATTTAGATCTTAAAACTAATTTTAGGTCGTATGTAATAACCGCAAAACTACAAATGAAAACAACACCCATATTTTGTAACATTTATACGATATACCCGTCATTTAATTTTATTATTATTGAATTTTCTTAATATTTATTGATAAATGAAATATTAGTTGGCGCCCATTCATATATAAAACTTATATACAAAGAGGCAATAAATAACACAAAACTACTGCAAATCAAAGCCTTTATTGTGCTTAAGAATAGACGACAAAGAATTGGTGAACAATAACAAGAATATTCTCATCGATTATATGATACACTAAACTATATATTCTTTACGTAATAGTCATGCGTTAATCGATAACTTGTTGTCCTCTCATTCGCACTCATATTAAATACATTACACATAATATAAACATATTGTGCTTTTAGTATACCTATTCACAATAATACACAATACAAATATATTAAATAAGTTTAACTATTAAGTTAAATAATAATAAGATCTAAAGGTAACCATTAAATTGTTTTTCACAAAAGCCTATCCATTAAAGAATAGTAACTGTATTTCAATGTCAAGTATAGCGCAGAATAAAAATCAATAAAATGTATTTTTGTTTTGATTTTCATTTTGTGTCGCATTCATACACATAATGCAATGCTTTCGTACAGAATCTATTGGTAAATAAATATCTTGACTTTTTTCATAACTTGTGTATTACATAACTTTGAGTGAAGTTTTCAAAACTCAGCATATATTCATAATAAAAACTGTGTTCATTACATGAACATATAATGGGTTTTGAGATGACCAGGTTTGAATTACTAATGGAACCGAAAGAGTATTACAGAAATGGCGATCGAGTTAACTGTATGTTAATCATAGAATTAGTGGGACTTTTGAAATGCAAACACATATTCATTACAGCCATCGGTGAAGTGATCGCTCTGTATGTCATAGAGTTTCGATTGATTTGAATTTTTTAAGTCTAATATTTTATTTGTCATCTAAAGGTTTCCCGAACAAGCTCGTGACCTTGGTACCACTCGGTTCATGTCCATTCCACTCAATCTAAGAGATTTAGGTTTCAATAGTCTTCAATACTTTATTTAAATAATTTTAATATATCAACAGAGAAAGTTAAATATTATTAATTGTTTAAAAGTTATATTTTCATTCAGTAAGAAATGATGTGTTGAAGACAGGTCTCTATCGGATTCCCTTTGACTTTTATTTGCAAAAGTATGTCTTGTTAAATATTTTATTTTGCTCAAAGTTTACGTTAAAAATATTTTTATTCGCATATGAAGTGCATATTTGCCGACATTTAAAGTGAGAAACGGCAGCATTTCATACTATGTGGAGACAATCGTCGACGACCAACTGTTTTATGAAATTAATTACACCACAAGACAAGAGTTTAATGTCAAAACACATTCAAATGTCTGTCCCTCACATATTGAATGCGTGAGTATTTGTATATTACTGTATATTATATAAAACAGAAATATAAATATTATTCTTTGAGTATCATTAATATTGTAATTTTCAAACACAGAGACCCGTGGCATCCGTACGGGAAAAGTTGATCCGCTTTTTTGGTATAAAAATAGGTGCCGTCCGGTTGTCCGCACATATGGACCGAAACAGATACTTTTGCGGTCAGTTTTGGTTGTATTTTTATTTTTAATATAAAAACAATACAATTAATTAATTGATTAATTGTAGGCGAAATAATAAACATCAACTTTCATATGAATAACCGGTCCTCAAAAACAATACGCTTTTTGCCGCAAATGGTTAGGCGGACAGCCTTTAAGAAAAAATACATATATCTGGAGAGTCAGGAACTGATTGCCAGTAATTATGCCGATCCCTGTCTAGAGAACAGTTCCCAATCGGACATTGTATTCATTCCCATACCCTTTGACTGTCTGCCCACAATCGACTGTCCACTCAT